TTATAACCAAGTGGAGATTTTTTAATAAAACTCAAGGAGTGAATAGCCACAAGGAAGAGTTTAAAAAGGGATATTTGATGGACGTTTCCAACTTCAGAGATATCCACGCTCAATAGCTCTATCTCATGATTTCTCTATCATTATTATCTTATCTATCATTCCTATATATCCCTTCAAATCCTCATTATGATTTGGTTTCAATTTGCGTCATCATCCCATTACGATCCACGATATTATTGATAGTCTCTACATGGGTTTTTGATTTGTTTCATCCGATGTTGGTCCTCATCAGTAAGAGATCCCCAATGACCTATATAGAGGGCTCCCGCGGCACACATGATGGGGGGATTCTTTCAGAACATCACAGAGGGCAATACGAGAGAGAGAGGGGGGGGGGGGGGGGGGGAGATTCTTTCAGAACATCACAGAGGGCAATACGTGAAAGAGAGGGAGGGAGGGAATTCACAGCCGAGAGAGAGAGAGATCGTGAGTGCTCTTGAAGGCTAAAGATGGACGAAGTGGTGAAGTTTGTAGTCTTCCTAGTGAGTGTAGTTTGACAATTTGGTCAGACATCCACTCACGATCAAGTTCATCAAAGCCAAGTTTTTCCCAGCCACAATACGAAGGAAAAGACAAAAGGGGCTACGGACTCAACACAAGAGTCGGTAGAAAGCAAGGCAACTAAGCCTTTCTCCGAACGGCACCCACGACAAATCCAGGTGTTAGCATTCGGTGAGTTCGTCACCACCGCTGCAACCTGGTGAGCTTCCCTGGTTCCCGTTGCATTCCAGCAATACCTTCACGCAGCCACGTCCCACCACTCCTTGCCGTTGTTGCTGCCACGAGTCGACAATGCCAGCCGTAACAAGGAATCGTACCGAGAAGCCAACACTGAGCACTACCGCCAATCCCGAGCCGTCCGTTGCGAGTTCGAACTTGGAAAGTCGATATCCGAATTAGGTAAAAACTCTTACCCAATTTTAATTCAAATATTTGACTATTCATTTCGATTGATTTCGTTATCTAATTAGTATATTTTGAGTGAATATGCATATCCAAAATACCAAGTAGCATTAAATTAGGGATTTTTCCCTAATTTCATAACGTGCTATGGTCGTCAATCCTTTTTCCCGCCCGAGATATGATTCGCGATCGCACGGAAAATTGGCCAATCCGATCCTCATGCCTGGGATATGATTCGTCAATCTATTATTTCTAAATTTAAATGGATATGGATAATACTTTTTGTGATTCGATGTCGTGTCATGTGGATTTGATTTCTTTCTATCTTTATTTGATTTGAATTGATTTTGTTTTCTAAAAAAAATCCAAAAAATTAGATACAATTGAAGTAGATTATTTTTTAGGATAATTGAGGAATATAATTAATTTCGAATTTCAATGAAAAATACAAAAAAAGTATTATGTGCATGTCATATAGATTAATTGCATCATGATTGCATGTTATCATGCCACGTCATTCATACCTTGCCATGTGTCATTGCCCTTGTGTCATTTAGCAATTATATGTTAGGTTCAGGTAATTGGGTGTCATATTAGAATAGTTCCACAATGATTTTTGTTCGTCATTTAGAATTATGACATTTAAATAAATCTGCCATGTTAGACGTAAAATGCATTGCATAAAATTTAGTTTTCATTAAATAAGAGAAGACCCTAAATCGCTACTTTGAGGTAAGTCCATATCTTGCAATTTATTTACTGCTATGCTTTATTGAGTGTTAAATAATAATTACGTACCCGCATCATCACCTCACATGTTAATGAATAGGATAAAATCAATCGAAGTTGCCTGTCAAAATCCATAATCTCTGGTTCGTGGAAGTAAAGTACCACCAGTATCTCCAAGCCAGAACGCACCGGCCAATTTTCTGTGCCCCAAATCGGCGGTAGTAGCAACATGGACTCTTCCGTCATTTGCCGCGTCTCCGTGCCATGTCGTCGCCGTCATTCGCACTGCCTGACACGCCGGTTTGATTTTAACTCCACGGAGTCATCGTCATCAAAACCTATGCTCCCCACGCCTGCACCATACCCGCTGCTATGCCGGTCGCTGAGCTACCGTACCAAAGCGAGACTCGTTGCCGAGTCGGCGTGAGTGGTTGCCTTTGCACTACCGGATCTCCAAGTAGCCAAGCCTGGCACCCCCGCCAGCCTTTTCCAAACCTGTCAATTGCAAATCTGAAGTCAAGTCATTCATGGTCGTTCGCCACAATAAAACTTCGCGGCTTAGACCCAACACGGTCGCTGCTCCGCTCATTGCTGTCCTAATTCTAACTACGGTTTTCAAAGTGGCTGGTTAACGTGCCAGTCGCAACTCGCTCATCTATGTACTAACATTTTTAGTAATTTCTCGACTTCTCTTTTTCTCGCACTCTCAACTACCCCATTTTGCTTCTCTCTTTTCGATATTGTCACACACGAGAAATGTACATTCTCTCCTCATAGCTAGCCAGTTAGATGTCCGTGCGCAGCGAAAGGGGCAAATAACACTAAAGAATTTCAATCCATAACCAACAAATAACTAGTTATAAAGCAATTTAGCCGGAGAAATTTGGAAAATGTGATGCACCTATGAAAGCGTTTATCAGGGCTTGACGTGTAACTTTTGTTTAATTTAGCTAAATAGCAATCTCAGAAGCAAGAGCTTGGAATTCATGCCTGCCAATTGCACATGTTCAATGCACTCCAAAAATATCACACGAGCAAAAATAAATAAATAAAATTTACCGATTTAAAAAAATTGGGTTTTGCGAACTCCGGAACCGGATCACACTCTAATTTCAATGTACCCTCACTCCCAAGAGCCCAATTTTCAATAACCCTTAAACAAAATTAAGCATGAAAATAAATAAAAAATAAAAAAGCCAAAGAGGATGTTAAGAAATCTCTGCCCTACCCTCTCCATCTGGTCTGTAATTAATAATTTTACCAATCATTATAAAAATGCCAAAAAAAAAGGTATTATGAAAATTTCTGCCATATCCTCTCCATTTGGTCTGTAGTCAATAATTTTACCAATTAAAAAAATGCCAAAGAAGGTATTACGAAAATATCTATCCACATCCTCTTCATTTGGTCCGGTAATTTAAAATTTTTACCAATTATAAGAAAATGCCCGAAAAGGTATTACGAAAGTGTCTGCCATGTCCTCTCTATTTGGTCCGTAATTAACGATTTTACCAATAAATAAAAAAAATGCCGAAAAAGATAGCATGAAAAACTCTGCCCTATCCTCTCCGGTTGGTACGTAACTAACAATTTTACCAATAAACAAGAAAGTGCCAGAAAAGGTATTACGAAAAACTCTTCCCTGTCCTCTCCATTTGGTCCGTAATTAATAATTTTACCAAAAAATAAAAAAGGACTCCAAATATGGTATTACGAAAAGCTCCATCCTTATCCTCTCCATTTGGTCTGTAATTAATAATTTTACCAATAAGGAAAAGAGTGCCAAAAAAGGTATTACGAAAAACTCTTCCCGGTCCTCTCCATTTGGTCCATAATTAATAAATTTACCCTCAAAAAAATTCCAAACATAGTATTACGAAAAGCTCCATCCTTATCCTCTCCATTTGGTCCATAATTAATAATTTTACCAATGAGCAAAAGAGTGCCAAACAAGGTATTACGAAAAACTCTTCCCTGTTCTCTCCATTTGGTCCGTAATTAATAATTTTACCGAAAACTCAAAATTACTCCAGATACGGTATTACGAAAAGCTCCATCCTTATCCTCTCCATTTGGTCCGTAATTAATAATTTTACCAATTAATGAAAAATGCCAAAAAGATATATCATGAGAATTTCTGCCCTATCCTTCCCATTTGGTATGTAATTAATGGTTTTACCAAATTTACAAACAAAACGGACGGATGATGGAGAGCGAGTTGCCAGTTTTGGACGTTATCGTCAAGGACAGTTCCAAGGGCACTCTCGTCTTTCCACACGCTTCCCAACGTAGCATCTCATCCCTGTGGTCGGCACCGCCTCTCTACGTGTGCGCTTTTCTAATTTTTATTCATTTCGATAATCTCGTTAAGCCATACTTAATTTGAAAAAAAAATTAATTTTAGTGCACTAATTATCCATAAAACTAAACGATATTTTTTTCATTTTGTTGCTCGTCATCACTCCGACCCTCACCAATAGAATGTGTATTCATGCTAAAATATATGTTCAATTAATTCCGCACGCGAGCTCAATTGGTCCTACAAACCAGCGCTGCGTTCTCGTTCTATTTATGATGGAATACACGTACTTTAGGAGGTTTAATTAATTCCGCGTACGGGTTTAATTAATTCCCCGCGAACAAGAACCGTCCCACTCTCACGCATAAATATTTTTCCTTTTACATGAAAACAATAGATTCGGTACCGTTAAACGAATCTTGTGAACTAGTGCTTTCATGGTATTCCGTTAGTAATACCCAATAAAGAAATATCTTCGTTTTCGATATCATGAAATCCGTTAGTAATACCCAATAAAGAAATATCTTCGTTTTCGATATCCCGATCCTGTATATCACAAGAAAGAATAATACTTTTTCGGACCATGAATTTCTACATTTTGATGTTTAGCGAGTGTTCCTCGATATCCGTTAACAAAAATCCTAATCGATTTACTCTAAAGTCGAGAGAGACACCGTGTGATTTGAGCACGGAATTCATCGCATTCAAAAATGAATTATTAATTAGCGATCTTTTATTTTATTTTCTTTTTTATTTCCGTGGAAAATGCACAAAAAATATTAAAAAATTTAAAAAATAGGCGAAAACGACCGGCACTAGGAAAGCTGACGCTTCACGGCGGCACCGCCATAGGAAAGCCGAAAAAGGAAGGAGATCGTAACACAATACGTGGGGCGACTTGGCCTGAGGCCGGCTCCTTCGGTTTTCTCTACTTATAAAATCCTTTGTCTCTCGCAAAACTCGAATCCCCCCCCTCTCTTCGTCTTCGTCTTTCTTCGAGCAAAGAACACCGTGCTCTCGTTCAACCTCGCCGCCATTGATGCACTCACTCCCTCCGTCGACCCACCTCCGTCTCTCTGCGTCCCTTGCTCGTGTCGTGTCGTGTCGTGTCCTTCCTCTGACTTCTGTGTCCGGAGGAATCGTGCACGGGTTCCTCCGTCTTCTTCCTTCGATCGGAGCGTTTCTTGAAGCCGACGTAATTCCGTTTCCCTGAAAATCCTCCGTCGGCTCTTCCGAAGGTGCACGCTTTCTGTCGCTGAGAACTACTAGAGTTGTCAAACTTTCTCTCATCTCGTGTTCCGTCGGCTCTCTTTGTTTTCGAAAATCTTGTTTGCTTCGTTCGAGAGCTCGAGAATCTCCCGTTCGTGTTTCTGGGTTGGTGATTCGCGGGGCTCTGGTTTTGCAACTGCTTCATGAACTGAAAAGCTTTTGATCTTCATTGGTCCTGCGGTTCCATTTTTCTTTCTTCAATCCGTGCCAATTTTGCGTTTGTTCTTTTGTTTTAGCAGTCGTAAATTTTTGTGAATTGATTCGATATTCAGAAATGGCGGACTACACGCATCAAACACCGAGTGCACACGCCGCCGCTCCTGATGTGGTCGTGCCCGAATCCGACCATCCGGCAATCGATCTTAACCTTCCGGATCTGGAGAACCCGACGGACGATCAGGATCAGGATTCATCCGTCTCCGACAGCGAGAGCATTGTCTCGGACGATCATTCTGGCAATGCGCTGTTGCCGTTCATTGGCGCCGGGTTGATGGAGCTCGGCGAGGGAGACAAGGTCCACCGCTCTATCAAGGAGAGATTCGTCTCGCGGCTAGGTGCGCTCGGGGCGCAAGTTACCGTGGTGGCAATCCACCGGAATTGCTCCTCCAGTGTCTCGGCGAGAGCACGGGCCCAAGCGTTTCAAGTTTACTCACAGGCAGTGCAGAAGAAAGGCGGTGGCGACACTGCCAACGTGAGGTATGCGTGGTATGCAATCTCGAGGGAAGAGGTATCCAAGATCTTCTCCTATGGCTTTAGCTACAGTGGGAAGCCTCGGAACAGTGGCTTGTATGGCTGTGGAGTTTATTTTGCTCCTGATAATCATCCTCTCGAATGGTACCAGAATTCCTTTCTTTTCCCTTTTAATTGAGTAAATCATTGAGAGATACGGTTTGGAAAGCGTTACGATCATCTTGTTATATTTCTCTTTTAAGCTATGATCGGTTATATCCAATAGAAGAGAGTATATTTCGCGAACATGTTTTTGGACTCGTGTTAGTACGTCAGGCATGTGATGATATTGTCACTACTGATTGCATAAATCATCGAGAGATACTATTTGGAAAGTGGAACGATCGTGAAGATGAGTTGATTTAGCGTGTTATTGTATTTCCTTTTAAGCTATGATTGGTTAAATCTAGTAGAACCTCGTTTCTTGACTCATGTTAATATGTTGTGCTTGTAATGCTTTGGCAGCGTTAAGTCAGCCCCTGCAGATGAAGATGGCCTAAGGCATCTCTTGCTTTGCCAAGTCATATTGGGGAAACAGGAGCTTATCAGCTTTGGCTCGGAACAGTCTCATCCTAGCTCAGAACAGTACGATTCGGGCGTAGACAACTTATCATCTCCGAGGAGATACATTGTTTGGAGCACCCAGGTGAACACTCACGTGTTGCCAGAGTATGTTGTCAGCTTTAGAGCCCCTCATCGCTCGAGAGGTAATCGAATTTTCTTTCTCGTTCCTACCTTTGCATCGACCCTCTTTGTGTGTTTGACTTTGTCTGTTCCATCAACCGGTCTGATGATCCGTGATAATTTATATGCAATAGGGTTGTTGAGAACTCTGGAGAAGTCGCGTAGACCGACTTCCCCTTGGATGCCATTTCGGATTTTGATTTTGGAACTCTCGAAGATCTTACGTCCATCTGACGTCAATCTGATCTCCAAGTATTACAGAGATCACAAAGTAAGGGCCGCATCGACATTGTCATCCCTTACTTCTTGTCCTTCAAGCTTTGTTTTCTGCTTACCAATGTTGAAATTATCTTTAACACGTGATCATCATTTTCCAGGCTGGGAGGGTTTCAAGGCATCTGCTGGTACAAAGAGTTAGGCATATAGCAGGGGATGGATTGCTGACTAGAATCATCAAAAGTTTCAGAATCAAGGTGTGGATTACGATCCCCTTGATAAACAGTAATTCGAAATCACGTTGATGCCTTTGATGATTGTTTCCATTGCAGTGGATTATGCTATCGCTCTTTGCCTGCCAGTTTCCTTTTTATCAAGTAGATCTCCTGCAAGTTTCGTTTTTGATCAAGTTCATCTGGATAGCATAGGATACTTACTGCATAAAGCCACAACAGTAGTGAGAATAATTTATTCCATTCTACAGCAATCTCGGGCTGAAGTAGCTGATCATGGGACCAGGGATGGACTTGAATAAGACTAGGGATGCGAGGCGCATAGAGGAGATTGGTTTTCGTTTTGGCGAGGTTCACAGCACACAGCGGCGTGAGCAAACGGTACACAAGATGCGGAGGAGGAGGCGCATCTGATTCATTGACATAGCCACCGATACTTAGATAGGAAAAAGACTCTTTTGGAATTTGTATGATCTGCCGATGTTTTGGGGTTTTTTTTTTTTTTTGGCGTTGGATTTTCGTCATAAACCGTGGTCTTTCTTGGTTCCTTTCTCACATTACCGTTTGTTTTCATGGAGAATCAAAACTCTTCTTTGCATGAACATGTTATGGGAATTATCGTACGATATGCGCGATCATGCAGGGGACAATCGCATTTCCATCTAACAGCATGTCGCGACGCAGCCGGATCCCGAAACTTGCGTGGCAAGCCTCGATGGAAATGAATGAATAGTTGCCTTAGCTAGGAATGTTTAGGCAAAGCCTTTCATATCTAGCCAGCTTTCTCTTGTTAAATTATGCATCTTTATGCAGGCGTGGTCCACATGATCTGTCCTATTTACTTTATGGGGCAACTAGCTTAGTCATAGAGGTGGATGAGATGACTCACGTGAATGTTTACAATTTGTAGTTGACCTTTATCATAATGGCGGCTGGTTTTTGGCAAGACTGTCTCTCTCTTTGTGTGCGTGGAAAGGCGCTGGCTCTGCCTTTTTAGATAGAAAACTGCAGCTTGAAGTTTTCCTCGTTTGAAAGGAAAGGCTTGAGCCGCTTCTTGAAGGGTCAGATTCGTGCCAAAAGGTCTCTTGTCTTTTAGTAAAATATAATTGTTTTCGTTTTTTTTTAATCATCTTTGTTTAATCAAAGGAGGTCAGATTCCTCATCTGAATTGATTGAGTTGGAAAGAAGGAAGGGTCAGAGAAGAGTACGGAAGAAGCCCAAGCCCAAGTCGCCGTTTATGGATAGGTGGTGGAAAGGGTTTGTGTTGGACTTGGACTTGGACTTGGCTGCGTTTCTTCCTGAATACGTTCCATCCAGCCTTGGGGCTCAAGCATATTATATGTAATTGAGCGGCAGTAGCAGAGGTCAAAGGTTTGAAAGTGCAATGGTTTTCATCCAGGGGGGGGATTCACATGCCTCTGGTCCTTTTCTTGCTTGCCAATTTATTTCCTGGAATCTGGACGGCGGAAGGCGACTTACGCAACGACGCTGTCGTGTTCGGTTCGGACTGTTTTTTACTCGCGTGTGGGGCTCGCTTTTTATCAACCTACGGCTTGCATTCTTAGGGGGTTAAGCTAGAGATTTTCTTTCTTTCTTCTGAGTAGAAATGGTAAATGTTACTAGGGGGCAAATTGCAGCCATTTTAGTGTGGAAAGTAGATTAGTATTATAGCCTGGCTTTCTGTTCAAATGGTCCAGGGGAACCAGTAAATTTGTTGCAGGAGGCTCTAGTAGGGGGCTAGGAGGCTTTAAATGCGATATTTAGCGGCACGGTACAACCGACCCGCCAAGCTTAGGTCGGGTTTCGGGTTGCCGGAAAATGATACTCGGGATGCCTTCCAAGCTCGCAAGTAATCCGGCAATCGGTAAACGGATGGAAAGTGCCGGGCCGGCCGATGATGTGTGGACAACTCTCAGCCCATTGGAATGGATTGCTTTCAAATCAGAGCTTTCATGGGCTTTCCGTGAAGCTAAACATGAAATCTTGGGGCTAACAGAGAGAGAGAGAGACTTACTTAGAAATTTACTATAATATAGTCCTAAAGTACATGCTACTCTTTGACCAAAACAAAAAAAAGTACATGCTACTCATTAAACAATGCAATCTGCGCTCTTTATTGACCTTTTTCCCCCACGCATTGTGATCTGGGTTAGTTGCTGCTCTTTGTTTTGTCTGGGTTAGTTGCTGCTCTTTGTTTTGTCTCTACTTTCGTATCCTCGGTTTTTCATTTTTGAACAGACAGAGACTCCAATCCACCTTCTTCCTTCTTCTTCCTTTTCGCCTCTCGGGTTTTCAAGAACTACACGATAGCGGCGAGAAACACAAAAAAAAGGAATATGTGTACTAAAAATTCTAAAACTTATCACGAAAATGCAATTGAGTCCTACAACTTGCAAAAAGTTCAATTAAGTCCTAAAACTGTCAAATTTATACAATCAAATCATTCCGTTAACTCTATCAAACTTGGATAGGAAAATGTTGATGTGGTTTTTTTAAATATTTTCTCTCTCCTACATAGCAATGATGTGACTAAAACATGAAACATAAGGTTCAAAACAACGTCGTTTTGATCCAAATCTGATTTTATATACGAATTTTATTTATTTTAAATAAAAAATAAGCTATATTATAAATAAATAATAAAAAAAGAAGCAAAGTTGGAAACCAGCAGCAAGGACTTGCTACAAGACCTTGCCGCCGCCCCACCATCGCCGACAATGGTGGGGGAAGGGTCGCTCGAGGGTCGCTGGGCCCCGACCAAGGACCGGCGACCCTCGCCAATGGCTACCCTTGACCAAAACTAGGCGAGGGCCGGCAACCTGGGTGAGGGCCACGACCATCGCCTGCGATCAACGAGGGTAACCGGCTACCCCAACCATTCCCTCACTATTGCCGAACCTTCCTAGCGATGGTGGGACGGCGACTGCAAGCCCTCGCCACTGGTTTCCAACTTTCTCTTTTTATATAATTTAGCTTATTTTTTATTTAATGTAAATAAAATTTGTGTAAAAAATGAGGTTTGGACCAAAAAGACTTCATTTTAGCCACGTCAGTATTTTTCGTTAAACAAGTTGGATGGAGTTAATGGAAGGACTTGATTGCATCAATCTGATAAGTTTTAAGACTTCATTGCACTCTTTGCAAGTTTTGGAACTCAATTATATTTTCATTGCAAGTTTTAGAGGTTCCGGTGAACATATCTAAAAAGAAAAATAGATGTTCTCGACGTCTCGTGGAATTTGACGAATGAAGAGCAATTCGAAATTTCATAGTCCTATGTTTAAATTACGAGGATAAGGTGGACAGGCTGTCTCTTCTTATATAAGCCTTCATTATTGCAATATACTAAACAAAAACTTGATTGCTGGAACTGGATTGTGCAATTGCTATATCTCTTTTGGCTTTACCCAGAAAAGTCTAATCCCACTCCACTCTTGCCGTTATCAGAGATTGAAGACAAAAACCGAAGCCAGCTGTGGCGTTTTCCTTTTCCTCTTTTATTTTTTTGCTTTTCTCTCGCTTTTTCAGAAATTAATTAATCATGAAATAATTACACAAATAATCTTTGAATTTTGACTCAATGTGCAACGTGATCCTTGAACTTTTAATTTGTTCAAATAAATAATATAGTCCTAAACTTTAATTGTAATGTTCAATAGTTAATTCCCTAAATATTCAACATTTTCATATACAGGGAAAAATATACAAAATAGGTCCATTAAAAATTAAGTTTAAAAAAAAGTTAAAGACTATATTGAACAAATTAAAAGTTCAGAGATCACGTTGCATATCGTGCCAAAGTTCAGCGATCATTTGTGTCATTTTCCCAATAATGATTGGATATACTTTTCCCAATCAATGAGAAAAAATAGCCAATTTCCATCAGAAAAAGGAAAATTTAAAATACGGGAAAGAATCTTGGTGATGACTAATTAGGAAGCACCACCATTCATGGCACAAATTATGAGGATTCAATTGGCTACTGTTTTAATTTTATTTATTTATTTATATATTTATTGACGAAACCTAACCAATGAGACCGCCCAATCCCATCGTTTTCTTCTAACGTAACCTTCCCTTGACTTGATAACAGACCCAAAAAAAAAAAACCTTCCCTTGACTAAGTCAATCAAAATTAGTTAAATCAATCTCAAATACCAAAATAAATATAAAAGATATTTAAAATTAAAGAAAGGGTTGTGTTGATAAGATGTTGTAATCCTAAATCCACAAGTACGTTGCTTGGTTAGGTAACATCGGAACGGATTTCACGAGCCCGCCCTTTCACATTGACTTTGAACCTTAAAAATACTATTTCCCATGTTAAGTTTGGAGCTTCGATCGCTTAAAATTCGAACACCGCTTCTCCCGTGGTTGCGAATATCGTGAAATTTATCCTTATGTGATTCAAAATATTGTTGAGGAAATTTCCTAATAAATTTTGTAGTTGACAAAACTATCCATGTTAATCTTGTAAATCTGATATGTACCCTGAAATATTTTGATCCAGGTAAATATATTCTGGAAGTGGCAACTTTAATAATTTAAGAGAAATTAACTTTCTGGACGCTCAGACTTTACAAGGTTTAGAAGGAAAACTTCAGACTTTACAAGGTTCAGAACGAGAAGTTCAGACTCTACTGAAATAGACACTCAATCTTTATCTTAAGATGTCAGAGACCTTCATACTCTAATTTTGAAGAACTCAGACTTTACTAAAAACCTACGCTGACTCAGGTTCTGAATGTAAAGCAAGAACCAGAAATTTTTCAGACTCAGAATTTATTCAGAAGGAAACATAACAGCTAGTGATCTGGCATGAATTTCACAAAAGGAAAGTTTTGATTGACTCAATCTAAGCCTAATTGATTGACAATCAAACATTATGACAAGTATATACCACAACGGATAAAACTCTACTTATGGAAACCAAGATTCTGATTGTATAGGTGATCAGATTCAGTGGGATTTGGATTTTATCAACCAACGACTACTCAATCCATTTTATACAAATCTGTCCAAGGTGAAGATTGGAAGATGATCCTCTGAAGATTGTCCAACAGCTAGTTTGGAAGTGGAGGAGTATAAAAGGGGACCAATGAGAAGCAAAAAGAATAGAACGAAATCAAGAATCAACAAGTCCAAAGTCTGAGCTTATTCCGATTCTATTACTTGTCTTTCCTGAGCTAAATATTGAGATTTTGAGGAATACTCTGTAAAAAGTGATTGTGTGAGATAGAGAATTCTATCATTCACCGAGTGATAACACTCAGATCTTGTAATTCTTTTGATCACATAGTGGAATCCAGCCAGTAGGCTATCGGCGTCGGAGAGTGGATGTAGGCTTGATCTAAACCGAACCACTATAATTTCTTGTGTGCAGTTCTCTTTATCCCTAATCTCCTTTTATATTGTTTACACTGCACACTATCACATTCAGAATCTGAACATTATTCAGACTTTCCTGATTATAAATCGTTTCCGCTTTAAATTCATAAAAATCACTCGAATCACCTATTCACTCCCCCTCTAGGTGATACCTGCTAGCTATAACAAATATATCATGACATTATGCAATGAACATACATTTCAATCCATAGTCCTGTGCATACATCTGTACTTCCTTCCAACGATCTAAGCTTTTTCAGCCGGATTATTTCTTTGTGCATGGAGCGAACCATCTCATCGTTCTTCCTCTATTTAATTCACCACATAACCTACTAATGAATACTGAGTCAATAGTACCTGAGGCGGTACTGCGAATCCTAGGCCTGCATGGGGTTATAAACTACTGTATCTCGTCTTCAAAAGGGCGGGCGGGAGTCATCTCAACCGTTCGAAATGCTTTTAAGTGCGGAAAAAATTTTCGTTTCCCCATTTTTTTTTCGAAACACGTCATTTTCTTTCCCACCAAAATTAGGTGTGAGGAAGCATGCCCATAGCAAGAATGAGATCGAGTGTAGACCACTTACAAAGTTGTGGAGGGAATTCCAAGCACTCTTGCTACCTTGTGATTTCATACATCTCTCAATATCGGTGGCCTGTGGCTATTAATAATATTGGTGTGAAAGTATGATGATGATGATGATAATAATAATGGAAATAATAATTATTATTATCATTATATATATTATATTATTAATATGGCTAGAGCATTATTTTTTATTTATTATAAAGGGAGTCACGGTCATCTACTTATAATGGGCCAAGCGACCTCCCACGCGGCACGCCTCACCTTCATCCTGGCCCAATTCCTCCCACGCTTCTCTTGCCCCTTGTCATGAAATGATGAGATGGGTGATGAAAATTATAAAAGCAAACTGTAACAAACAAATATATATATATATATATATATATATATATATATATATATATATTTCTTTTACTTTTTTGTATTCTTTTTCCTGCTTGATATCCAAAAAAAAATTAAGGGTTAATACTAAGAAAAACCCTAAACTGGTACACATGTAACAAATTTGCCCTGAACTAATTTTTTGACCACGAAAAATCTCAAACTGATATACTCGTGACAAATTTACCCTACGATAAGTTAGATTAATACCACCAAAAATCACAAATTGACAAACATGTGACAAACAAAAGGGTACAACCTCAAAACCGGTACACCCGTCAATTGCCACGTGTCATCCAACTTAGCAATTTAAAGATAAAATTTAAAAAAAACTAACATAGGGTAAATTTGTCATAGATATACCAGTTTGGAGTTTTTGGTAGATAAAAAATTTGTATGGAGTAAATATGTTATAGATATACCAATTTAAGGTTTTTCGTGATATTAACTCAAAATTTAAATGGCTACTCTACATGTTATATTACAGTCATATTGTAACCATGGATTTTTAAGAGGAAGTGATGATGGTCGCCATTCACATTCACACCTTCTCGTGACGAAGGATTAGGTGTCACTAATAACCCATATAATATATTTACTGTTAAAATTAACTTTTGAATTTCATAAGCATTTGATGGGAGTACATTCATTGTGAAATTCCCTTTTTTAACTTAAAATGTTCATCTAAGGATGAGGATTACTAATAAGTAAGAAAGATTGACTTCCAAATCTGACCATTCATCAACCATTCATCTAATTTTAGAAAAAAAAATCAAACTAATTACTTAAAAAAATCAGTCTTTTGGGTTAGTTGAAAAGGGAGTAAGAACATAGTTTTCCTTATTCTTCATGTGGATGTAGCTCTATTCACCTAACTAATCCATTTGAATTCGATTTCTCGATCATTATTGTTATAATTTTATATCTTTCCTTCTCGATAAATTAACAAATCTTATAATTGTTCCTTTCGTTGATGCTTTGATAGGTACATGAGCGATAATACAATGAACCATAACATATTTGTTATTGGCTTTAAATTAAGTTTGATTTTGGTACTTTTTTCGCAAAAAATGGGCGTCGACCCAAGTAGTGAAAACATCTTTCCCCAAAAAGTGAATATTTGGTTTTTTTTTTTATCAAATGGTTCTATGGTGATTTCGGATATGATTTCAGTCGGCATAACAATGAAGAAGAACAATGAATTTAAAGATAACCAACTCTAAATGATGGAAACTGATAAGGCATCAACATTTTTAAACTAATAAAATTACATTGTGAATATGTGATCTTGATGATAGATAATCGATCTCCAAATAATTACACGCCCCTTAGTTGTAACCCCGTGTTGGCATTTATTATAATGGTAAGTAACTGCACTCCCGAAATTCTAGCCTCTTATTCGCACGCTGATCTCATCCACAAACGAGTTAACCGTCGCTCGTTATCCTTGCTTTCAATCGATATCCTTGTTCTCGTGTCCTCTCCTGTGTCCAACACTTAGGCCAAATTTTTAATGGTCGGGTCTTTGCTTATTACGTCGACAAACTTCATTGAACGTCCTTTTGCTACTCATTGATGCAATAATTATCGACAATCCTTTTTGTAGATGTTGATACTCATACCGTACAAATGTCGATTGTTTAACAGCTTGAAGTGCTCTCGTCGATCAGTCTTCTTCGACCAACTACACTTAGTCGCCTATTAATAGCAAAACATTATGATCATTGATAAACTAATTGATATCTACATAATATCATTTATCAATAACCGTGTCGATGACAATAAACCAAACTCACTTAATCGACTAAATCCGCTCTTTGTCAATTTAAAAGAGTTAGGCTATATTTTGGCCTAAACATGTATTTTTCAAGAATGGGTTAATGACACAAATATTCTATCAACTTTAGCTTAATGTGCAATGTGGTCCCTAAATTTTTAATTTGTTCAATGCGGTTCCTAAATTTTAGCCTAATATGCAATGTCTTCCTTGTAACTTTTAATTTGCTAAAACCCTGAATTTTTAATAAATGTTTAAACTAGTTCATAGACTATATGAAAATATCCAATATTATGTTTTCACTATTTAAGTTCAAGAACCATATAGAACAAATTAAAAGTTCAAAAAGCGCATTACACATTGTGTCAAGTTTAAGGACCGTTTATGTTATTTTTCTTATCAATAATAACATGATGTACAGCAAAACCATGCAATGAATAGCGTTCTATCGAGCTAAGCATAACATCAGTCGAGCCAAATTTTACTTCGCGATTTTTGCTATGGAAGAGCGAGAGTGTACTTAAAACTTAACCGTTCCCTTAATTAATTAATAAATAAAAACCCAAATTCAAGGCAACCAAATGAAAGTTTTCCAAAGGCATACTCCAAAATGTTTTATTCTTTGATTGAGTTTTTTTTTCTTTTCATCTCATCGAGGATGAGGCTGATGTCCAAGCGACCCCTTCTCCTTTAATACGTGACGTGCTTGCTTACTCTATTCTGTGCATCATGCCGGTCACATCTTGACTACAAAAAGGACCTTTCTTGTGATTAATTAAGCAATTTATATATATATATATATATATATATATATATATATATATATATATAAATTACAGATTTAGAATTTCAATTATCTTAAATTCATAATGCAGAACACAACCACCGCTAATCTACTAAAATGAAAATGCCGCAAGCAATCACAATCTCATGCCTCGCCATCCCATATCCAAACGAATGGCTTTCCTGCTTCTTTTTTTTAATTTTTTTTTTGTTTTTGGCTTTTGATTTTTTTTAATGTCGACAAAGTTAAGGAAAAATCAAAACACGTGTGAACACCACACCCGTCCGTTCCGTCATGATATATGAACACAAAAAAGTTAATCCGTCAGGAATAGGATGTTACGTGTAACCAAAGCAAAGGAAAAATCACTCACAGCTTACCCGAGAGAGAGAGGACACGACACTATTGCCAAAAAAATAGGGAAAACAACACAAATAGTCTCCGAACTTTGACTCGATATACAATTTGATTCCTGAACTTTTAATTTGTTCAATATAATCTCTAAACTTTAACTCAATGTTCAATTTGTTCAATGTGGTCCCTGAACTTTTTGTACATATTCAATATAGTCTCTGAACTTTGTAAAAATGTTTAATATAGTCATTCAATTAATTCAAGTTCAGGGATTATATTGTATATTTTCATATAATTCAAGAACTAAATTGAACGTATATCAAAAGTTCAGGAACCACATTGAACAAATTAAAAGTTCAAGGACTACATTGAACATTAGGCTAAAGTTCAGAGACTACATTAAACAAATTAAAAGTTCATGGACTAAATTGCACATTAAGCCAAAGTTCAAGGTCTGTTTGTATCATTATCCCTAAAACCAAAAACTATATAATGAAATTTTTTTAAAATGAGATTATAAATCATTTAATTAAAAAGGGCAAATACCACAAAAAAAAACTCCAAATTATATCCACAGTGAGTGTGACACTAATGCCCTGAATTTTCTTTTGTGTCACTAAAAACCTTAACCTTGCCACCCCAAACTCTTTTTGTGTCACAAAAAATCCCGAACCTATAAATGTATGACAAATATACCCTGAATGGAATTGAAATAGAGGGTATATGTCCCACCGGTATAAGTTCGGGATTTTTTATGATACACAAAAAAATTCAAAGTATTTGTATTGGCTTTTGGTGACACAAAAGAAGTTCGAGATACTTGTGTCATAGTGGGCATCGTTTGGGATTTTTTACAGTATTAATTCTAATTAAAATTTTTCTTATAACCCAAATAAAAGTCACCAAATACACCAAAAAGAAAAAAAAGAGTAAATTATAGCAATAATCCCCATCGTTATTTTTTCCTGGAAATTCGCCTCTCTTTTTTCGCAATAACGGAAATTAATCAAAATATTGCTAAAAAAAATGTAATTGGGAAAAAACAAATTTCCACAACCACTTAACAGCTATATATCTATCTATCTCCCCTGAACCAACCCCACACCGTCTCCATTTCCCCTGTCTCTACGCAGAAACAGAGTACATGCAAAGATGCAGGCGTCGGCCGCGCTCTCTCCGTCCCCGAGCCTCAGCAGCTACTCCACCACCGCTGCCAGCAAGCTCGCCGAGATCGCCGCCCGCGTCGTCGGCGAGCTCGGGCTCGATCCCGACCCGTTCGGCTGCGGCTGCGGCGACGCCGCCGTGGATGATTTCGGCGGTGGAGGCGGCACTGGGCGGCTGTTGCGGCCGCCGGGCGAAGAGGCAGGGCGCGAGGAGAGGGAGATGACCCAGTTCGAGAACGGGGACGTTGAGGAAGCAGGGGAGGAAGAAGGAGAAGGGGAAGAAGAGGGAGAGTTCGAGTTCGCTTTCGTGGGGCCGGGCTCGTCTCCGATTTCCGCGGATGAGATCTTCTACAACGGCCAAATCAGGCCCGTGTACCCGGTCTTCAACGGGGATTTGCTTCTGAACGGAGTCGCGGGCGGGGAGGAGGGCGAAGACGGCTCGAAGAAGAAGACGACGACGACGAAGCTCCGGCTGCCGCTGAAGAAGCTCCTGAGCGAGGACAGGGAGTGGTCGTCGTCGTCGTCGTCCTCGACGTCCTCCTCGGAATCGGACGACCTCGACGGCCTAGCCCCGGGATCCTACTGCGTGTGGAGGCCGAAAGACCAATCTTCGGCGGCGAAGCGGTGCGGGAAGAGCAATTCCACCGGATCCTCCTCGAAGCGGTGGAGGTTCAGGGACCTGCTGCTGAACCGGAGCAGCAGCGACGCCAAGGGCACGTTCCTGCTCGTGGCGCCGAGCACCAAGAAGCGGGACAAGATCATCGGCGAGTCGAAGCGAGTCGCGGCGGTGGCAGAGGACGACGACGACGACGAAGAAGAAGACCCCGACGCAGGGGACAAGGACGAAGGCAAGAGGAAACCGCGCTCCTGCTGCCGAGGGCGGACCTCGTCGGCTTCTTCGCCAATGCGAACGGGCTGAGCAGGAACCTGAAGCTGCACCCGTTCTGAAGGGACTCGCTTCAAGTCTCGGGAACTGGTGAGTGAACATTTTTGTTCGCGTTCGTTTGCGTCTGCGTCTGCATCTCCCTTCTTCTTCTCCGGCAGATTTCGTAGGTGGGTCTGTGATTATCATAGCTTGGGTTTTGGTTTTTCTTGGTTTTTCAAGGGGGGGTGTTTATATGTGTAAATCATGATTAAACCAGAGTGGGATTAAGGTCTAATCTCGATGGGGGTCGTCGTCGTTCTCCTTTGTTGAAAGCTGCAAAAAGCAGAGCAGCTGCTGCGAGATCATGTGCAGCAGCAACAGCAGCAGCAGCAGAAGAAGAAAGATCCCTCCTTTTTCCTCTGAAAAGGAAACTCGTCCGATTTTCGAGTATTTTGAAGTAAATAGTTAATTACGATTATATTCAAATTACTGATTAATTAACTAAATTCCGTCAAGGTTAAAAAACGAGGGGATGATGCCTTGCAAGCAAGCGGGAAGCTAAGGAACTTGACGTTACCGAAGTGCGATTAAGCTAAAATTAAAAAAAAATTAAAAGGTAAGATTAAAAAACCAATCAAGAAAAATGAAAAATATCTCGTTTCGAATGCGCCGTCGGCATCAAAATACATTAAAAAAAAAAGAAGGTTAAAAAGAAGAAATCGTCAATCAAGGCCTGATTTGTTTGTTGTCGGTTGCTGTGTGGAAATCCCACCCTCGTCCGTACCTAAAACCGATGACGCGTGCCATTACAAGTAGCGACGGCGGCACGGTGGGCGGCACGGTGACCCGGGAAAGGAGATCTCCGCCGTCGACGACGCGGTTGCGTTTTGTCAGACAAAGGAGAAACCTACGGCCAGCTGCTTCGGATCCGACCAGCTCCAAGATTAGGAATATTTCTCTAACGTTAGATTTGAAAACTTCGAAAGCGGCCTCTCGATATAAAGGTTCCGTTTGTTTCGCAGAAAATAATTAATTGATGAAAAATATTTTCATTATCGACAATAATTTATGTATAAATGTTTTAGTGGATAATGAAGATGTTTTTCAATCGTTTTTAGAAATTTTTTTTTATCTAAGTCTTTCGTTTTGCACGAAATAAACGCATCCTGAGCTCCATATGACCACAAGCCAAGAGGAGTGATGTGACTATCGAAATTGCCTTTTGGTGTAACCAACGCACCCTGTCATTCTCGGTAACATTAGTTTGCTGTGGCGACGACATTCTCTTGAGCTGGACAGCTTGTGTTTTGTTCACCTGTTTGGTTCATCGGAAAATCAATGAAAATTTAGACCCTTTAATCGGAGTTTTCGAGTTCTTGAGGTGACTTTGGCGTGCTATGTATTTTGGAGCTATCCAGCTCGATCAAACACGGAAACATTTACCTCAAAAGTTATGAATAGGAAATTGCCTTCTTAGAACTCCATGGCACAAATAGCCGTGAACTTTGATCCAATTTGCAATGCCGTCCCTGAACTTTGACCCTGATATGTAATGTCATCTCTGGACTTTTAATTTGTTCAATAAAGTGCTTGAACTTTTGATAAATGTTCGATATAACCTCTAGACTATATGAAAATATTTAAAAGTTCGGGGACAGTGTTGCACATCGAACCAAAGCTGATGGACCATTCGTGTCATTTTCCCCTAACTTTATGACAAGAGACCGCGTCGAGTAAGAACCGAACTCGCACAAACAATTCGTTCGTGATTTTTTTGAAAATTCGGTACGATGGTCCCGACACTGGCTTACGCGATACGTCGCATGCTAAAAGGATAAGGAAAGGAAAGAGGAAGGAGGAGAGGAAAGGGTGTGTAGGTCAAGTCCTAACGGTGTTCCAATCCCCCCCATTTGATCCCATTTTACGCGATGACCGCCCCCCACGCATCGGAATCAACGCAAACTTCCACCTTCCCGGGTCACACACATCCTCACCAAAGGAGAGAGGCAAGATAAGGAAAGTAAAAGAGAAAGGGGAAAGAAACTTCCGTGTTTTCACGTTCATCACGAAAGCAGAAACCAACAGGAAAGAGCGGATCTGCAGTTCATATAAACAGCAGAAACAGCGTAACGCCTTGGTCTCTTTTCTAGTCATGTTATTCATGCCAATCCTGTCCCGCTTCACACTGCCATGACCTCGGAATCCGTGCCTGGCTGTCTCCCTCTTTCGCTGTGTGTGTAAAGATGAGCGAGGGAGGTGATGGAAAATTGACGGTGAAGGGTGCTTTCCCAGAAGGGGTCGGTAGTGTCGTCTAATCTCTTGGAAAGAAACCTGGACCTGGCAAGTGCGTCTGAAAGGAAAAGTGAAGTGAATTGACAGGGGCAACGAGGAAGAATGTGTCCCGGTACAGTATTCCCTTGCACAACTAGGTAGGCTTTTCCTGAATCACCGAATAAATGAAAATTTTCGGAAGAAACAAACAGAGCGGTGTGCATGACATTGCCCCTTCCAGAAAACTAGGAGTTGAATGATTGAACATGAGTAGGAAGAAAATATGAAGATAAAGCATAGAAGGCTTTTCCCGTGGTTTCTCCGGCACGTAATGATATTAGTTTTGTCGTAGTTTCAGTTCAAAAGGTCATAATGTGTGCTGGTGTGCATACCGATCGAATAGTTCTAAAGAATATGGCACGGTACGATATTCGCTCACACAACCCGGTAGGCTTCTGCTATCCAATGCCCATTACGTGATTATGATAGAACGCAAAACATTGTGACAAGAAGATATTAAGGAATCCGTTTGTTTGTAGGAAAACTGTTTTTGAAAAATAAAATTTCGACTTTCCGGTATTTGGATGATGGAAAATTAATTGATCTACGGAGAACGTTTTCATGAATTGAAAACAGCAAGTTTAGATTCGGGAAAAACAACTTCCTCTTCTGGCAAGAAGGAAATTATTTTTCCTAAACCACCAAACAAATCATTTTCCAAGGAAAATATTTGCTTTATCACGAAATTTTCAGTGAAACAAAGATGGAGGCGCATAACATTGCACCTTCCCAGAAAACGAGAATCAAATGATTAAACATAAGTAGGAAGAAACTATAGAGATAAAGCATATAAAGCTTTCCCGTGGTTTCTCCGGCAGGTAATAATGTCGTTTTGTCGTAATTTCAATTTTTTTGGACGGTTTCGTAAATTTCAATTCAAAAGGACATAATGTGTACACACCGATCGAACGATTCACGTTTATCTATTATGACCCCGATAAGATACCAACTTCCAAGAAATGATTTCTTGGAGGATCGCAGAAGTACCCTGCTTGACTAACTCTACTTTTCACAAGAGTTAGGTTGGAAATTCAATATGGACATCCAATCTTTCTAACAATCGGCTTGGTAGATATTAGAGAAAGGGCTGTGCTGGAAGATAGTAGACAGTTTGCTGTATATTATGTGCTTTTGCCGAATTGGGCATGTATAATTTGCTGTGCAGTTTGGTTCCAAATCCTTTTCATTTTGTGTGCACTTGTAGTTAAGGATTTTCTTTGTGGAATTTAGCTGGCCATGTGCACAAGTACCCCACCTAAAAAGAAAGTGTCAATTCCCTGTCAAAAGGGACGATCTTGCTAAGTTCTTTACAATCCCCAGGTCCTCACTCACAAATAATGTCTCAATTCATTCTCAATCTTCATAGACATCACAATCATTCCCCTGCAAGATGAGAGAGAGAGAGACAGGGACAGAGAGAGAATGCAATGGATAGGCTAGAAAAGGAACTCATTCGTTCTCTTTTTAGCAGAGAATTGAGCTTTCATGGAAAAAGAAGAGAGGATAAGATGCTTTAACAAAGAGCTAGCCCATATAGTTGCAACCCTATCTGTCTCTTAATATCCATTTGAGCCTTTGATCTTATTTTCCTTTTTGGGTCAGCCAAAAAGAAGTCCATCGTATATCATAGACTATTGGGCTATTCATTGAACGAAACCTTGTGCAAGCTTACTTTTAAAATTGTCATTCCTCCTTTTCATCTGCATTGAACATTCAAAAATTAAACAAACAAAATGAAGATTGCATATTTGTACAGAGCAGCCCAGATTCATGTACTGGTTCTCCTACATGCATGGTTTCACCTAGTTCCATGGCTAAACGAGGCAACTGCGTTTGATGGGTTTTGGCATTAAGACAACAAAAAAAAAATATGCCGTAGAAACAACAGATGAAATGAAAAATCCAACTTGCAGACATCAGGTTTTTCCAATGATATATGATCTATCTATGCAGATATCAGGTGCCTCCAACTTGTAGCCGAACTTCTAACGTATGTTGACATTGGAGTGGGGGTTGATCATGCAGTGAGATGTGCACATACAGAAGCTGCTCACTGTGCGAAAGATACCAATGTTTTACCACCTTATGCCCCAAAAATGCTACAACAAGTTGCGCGAAGATTACAACAAAGAGTGAAGAAATGCAGACAATGGGGAAGATGAACTTGACCTTCATTGAGAATTGTGAAACTAGTAAAAGATGTTCTTGGAATTGGTCATTAAATCACATTTTTCTCTTCCACCGACTGAACTGCCTGTATTGACCCATTTGAAAACCTTCTTCAAGGTTATTTCGTTCTACACACCATTCCAAGAGGATTTTCGCTGGCCAAGCTCTCGTTCATGTGAGAACAGGAGTCCTCCTGGTGGATTGCTGCAAACTTGCTGCATAATCCCGAGCCCACAAGTCGTAATGTATGATCTCCTCAAGGGAAGGTGTCTCGACCAGTTCTTCCCTATGCTTATTGCAAGTAAGCTCTACGACCTTGAAGATGTCCAAGTAACTTATCCTGACAATAGGAAAATCACTCGTTCAAAAAAGACCAACAATACATTAAAACTGACTTGAGCAGGGATTATGCGAGTCATGTCCATATGAAGAGAGATCAAACATACAAGTTATAATCCATATTAGAATGCAACCAACACCAGCTTTCTCCAGATCACTAGGTACCATAGAAAGCAAATAAGAAGGTTTATGCCCCTTTCACTAGGGAATTTAAGAACTTTACTTCCAATCCCCATCAGAAACAAAATGGATTTAGGAAATCTTTAAATGTTGACAAAAATTATTAAGATCTTATTAGATGAGACCCGGCCAGACTTCAAATGCTTAGAACTGGTTTCTGCAGTTATTAATACCTCCCCAGGGAAAGTCCAGTCAATTACACAGAAAAACTAAATAAAGAAACAGAATGCATACTTTTCATCGATGAACATTTCAACTGCCTTCTCATTGGCTGCA